TTTTTGGCAGATTCCAAAGGCGTACCATCACAGATTTTGGTCGATTTTTAGGAAAATCATTTTCCTTGGATTTTGAAAATTACACATATCATAGATTTGACCTAAGAATATTCTCCACCGTCGATTAAGTCTATTAAGCACCGATTTGAACTGATTGTTTCTATGACCATTTTTGGTAGATTCCAAAGTGGTATCATCACAGATTTCCGCCAATTTTTAGAAAAGCCTTTTTTTATAATGAAAAAGATTTTATAGAGTTGCGTTTAGAAAATTCATTTTCCTCAGATTTTGAAGGCCTCAGATTTTGAAGGCTATAGATCACGAATTCGCCATGAGGCTATTCTCCACCGATGATAAAGTCTATTGGTGGACATTTTGGTAAAACATTTTCAGAGGGCATTTTTCGTATTTTTTTGTGATTTTTTCGAAAAGCCATTTAACTTGAATTTTGATGGCTACAGATCCATAATTTGGCGCATTTTTTTGTGGCCATTTTTGTCAAATTCCATGGGGTACCATCATATAATTCGTGCGATTTTTATTAATGTCATTCTCTTTAAATTTTGAAGGCTACATAGCACACATTCGGCTTGAGGCTATTATTCACCGTAAATTAAGTCTATTAAGCAGTATTTGAGAGGATTTTATCTTGTGCCATTTTTGGCGGATTCCAAAGCGGTATATCACAAATTTTGGGCAATTTTTAGAATGGCCATACTACTTCGATTTTGAAGCCTACATATCACAGATTCAGCAAGAGGCTATTCTCCATCATTGATTAAGTCTGTAAGCACCGATTTGGACGAATTTTTTACATCACAAAATTTTGACATTTTCGAAAGGGGTACCATCACAGATTTAAGGTGATTTTTAGACATACCATTTTCCATGGTTACAGATCACAGATTCTACCTGGGGCTATTCTCTACTGATGATAAAGTCTATTGGTGGCCGATTTTGGCAGGAAATTTTTGAATGCCATTTTCGAAAAAAATTTGCGATTTTTTCGAAAAACCATTTTACTTAGATTTTGAAGGCGGCAGATCACGGATTCACCCTGATGCTATTTTTCATAGTTGATTAAGTCTATTAAGCACCAATTTGGGCGAATTTTTTTCGAGGCCATTTTTGTTAGATTCCAAAGGGGTACCATCACAGATTTCAGGTGATTTTTAGGAAAAAGTATTTTCATTGCAATTTGAAGGCTACATATCAAAGATTTGGTTTAAGGCTATTCTTTACCGTAAATTAAGTCTTTTTTTTACGGGGAACCTGTGAAATATATTAATCAGAGGTTGCTTCTACATCGTCCAGTTTTAGTTGATCAACAATAAATACCGGAGTTCTATCTAACCAGACGTGACGTTCCTCTCAGTTTGTCATAGAGTGTGCCACCTTATCCGCTACCTCATTAGCTTCCCGCTTTATATGCTTGTAATTCCCACCTCCAAGCTCCATCATCATACGTCTGATGCTCCTGCAAAGGACTCCAATTTCCATTTCTATATGAAAACCGCTTGCATCTTCTGAATCAAGGAGAGACAATCGCTTTCCAATACAGGGTTTGAGACTTGCAATAGGGACTCCATTTGCAGATCCAGTTCTGCTGCAAGTGTCTCTGCAAATTCCGGCTCCCATTGCCCTTTAATTTGCTTTGCCGCAGTTAGAAGAAACTAGCCATCGCTGTCTCGTATCACCACGCCGAGCCCTGCACCGCCCTCGGGGAAAATTGCTGCATCCGTGGTGACAGAATGATGGCCAGAGGCAGGCCTTCTCCAAGACTTAAAGGCCGGTTGCAAATGTGGTATATCTTCAGCTTCTTGGTGTTTTTTATAGTCATGCAAAAAGAAATGGGCTCTAGCTGCTATCTCGTTCTCTTCGAGCTTTATGCTATTGAACATGTGGGCATTTCGCTCTTCCCATAAGAACCATAGGAGTACTGCCCATTAATCAAGAATAGTATCATCCACGACATTCATCACTGCCGAAATTCAGTCGTAACAGTACCCCTACGGCCGCATTTCAAAGCAAGGTTTAAGATCAGAGGCTCGCCAGATTCGTTTACTCTAATAACACTCACCGAAAAGGTGGATCTGTGTCTCCCTTAGATCGCAATAGGGACATTTATCCCCCCATCTCTTGCTCTTCACACTTATATGATCACCCGTAGGTAAGGCTTCAGGCGCAAATCTCCATAAAGATTGCCTAACTTTTGGTTGAATCTGGAGACCCCATTACCTTTTCCATACCTTTGCCTCCCCTTAAGATGAGAGGCCTGCGGAAACCATATACTGCTGGTACCATTTGGCATAGCCATCTTTAACTAAGTATTCCCCCATTTTGTTTCCATGCCATATAAGTTTATCCATTTCACCATGACCATGAAGAGGGATTTGATGAACAACCTCGTTCATCTCGGAGCTAAAGCAGCTCTCAAGCATGCTCCTGTCTCAGTCCCTTGTCTCTTCGTCAATCAGCTCGCACACTAGTGCGTCGACCGGTAAGCCAACAGGACTCGAATTTATGAAACAGCTAGGGACCGATGGTACCCATTTGTCACCCCAAATTCTTATTGTTCTCCCATCTCCCACTCTCCATCTCAGACCACTACAGAGAAGCTCCTAAGCCGACAGTAAGCTCTACCACAGAAAGCTTGGGTTATACCCAACTGTAGCATCGAGAATAGATGTTCTCTTGTGGTATTTTGCCTTCAAAATCCTCATAATGAGAGATTCTGGTCGTGGTAGTAGTTTCCACAGTTTTTTTGCCAAGAGAACTTGATTAAAGCCTCTAAGATATCTTAAAAAACCAATACACCCTCCTCCTTAGGAATCGTTAACTCCTCTCTTGACCCAATGAGCTCGTCTTTCAGTTCCTCTTTGACCCCACCAGAAGTTGGTAATAAGGCGTTGGACTTCATCAATGACTCCATCCGAATCTTTAAAAATTGACATGGCATAGGTAAGTTGAGCTTGAGTTACCGATTTAATTAGAACCTCTCTAGCTACAGCAGGCATGGTCTTTTCCTTCCAACCTTTTAAATTTTTTTGGATCCTGTCCATAATTCCTGCAAAGAGTTCTTTCTTGGAACGTCCTGCCATCGTCACCAACCCTAAGTACTTTTCATGCTTTTCAACAAGAGTAATTCCCAAAATTTAGGGATGGGAAACCTAATCGGGATTTAGGGTACCCGCCTGAAACCGAACATGTCAACTCAGGCAAAAACCGCAATGACCGGGTGACGGGTCGGGGATGGGGAAACCCGAATATTGGTGTGTATGATGACGGAGCGGCTACGGATTGATCACTATCCACCCAGATCGCTGATCCATACCCGCCCCGATCGCTCAAATCTCTAGTCCCAGACTCCCAATATAGGCATATCAACAATCATCGATCCAATTAAGTTAAGAGCCATGCGAGACCGCGAGCGAGACTCCTAGATTCTCTAAAGGTTCTTGATTTTTGCCGATTCTTCCTTCCAAATTCATCTTTGAGTAATGATCCGGCAACTTAGAGAAGCAAAAATCTCTCCCACGATTAACTTAATCCCCAAAATCAGTTCGTAATTTCATGGGGTCTGCATTCTCTACCCCGAATGCCTAATTCTTTCCCTAATCATGATGCAAGCCTTCACTCCCAGCATGTATAAATACGGTATGGCCACCATAGCTGCCAATACGTTCACCCATCGCCGCCCTCCAATTTTTATCCCTGCTCTTGCTCCCATTTACAGAAGAAATCATAAATCAGCAGTAGCCAGCAGCGCCAAAGTGAAAACATCAAGCAGTCGAGGTGGGTTTGTTATTATTTTAATTTTCTTTGGTTTTGCAATCTGTACCTGTAATTTTATACTCGAGCTGCAGTGTTGTACCCCTATATGACATAATGAATGCTTTGTATGTCTGTGCAGTGGCAAAAGGTAAGCATCAAGGAGACGAAGACTTGAGGTGGCCAGGTGGGTTTGTTAATCTTTCACTGCATATTTCTTTTGTTCTTTTACTTTTATAATCATATACCGAAGCTGTGGGAGTTTATCAGAATAGATGGTTTGTGTGTTTGTGTGCAGAGGGAAAGGGAAAACAGTAGCACTGAAAATACGAGGTGGTCAGGTGGGTTTTTTCGTTCAAAATTTTCATTGCAGTGTTTTGTGGTTCTGTACTTTTGTTACTTGTGTAGGAGTTATCTTAATGTATGCTTTTTGTGTATGGTATATGGTTCTGTAATTGTGTTACTTGTGAAGGAGTTATCTTAATGTATGTTTTTTGTGTCTAGTATACAGGTGATTCTACAAGTGTTCAATTGGAGCCATGTCTGATGTACCACCTTCAGTTGAAGGTCCCCAACCACAAGTTATTGTTGCACCTGCTGTCGTGAATGGGAATGGCGATGGAGAGGCTGTAGTTGTTGCTGCTCAACCTCATAATGGAGAAGCAGCTCCGGCTCCTCAACCTCCGAATGCCCCACTTATCATTGATGAGGAGGTAATTGACAGAGCCAAACTTAAGAGTTTGGTTTGGAAACATTTCAAAATGATTAAGGTGAATAATCTGTGGAAGGCTAAGTGTAACTACTGTGGGAAATTATGAGGAGGGGATTCTAATAATGGCACATCTCATTTGAAAAATCATACCTCCAGTTGCATCCATAGGAAGATTCATGAAGGCAGTCAAAAGATTTTAGGGCCTAACTATTTGGCGAAAGGGAGAAAGGACTTACTTGCTTCGGCTTTTGATGCTAATTCTTCTAATAAAGAACTTGCAGTAGCTATCATAATGCATGAATACCCCCTTTCCATGGTTGATCATCTCTATTTCAAGAGGTTTGTGTGCTCTCTTCAACCAATGTTTAGTGTTCCTAGTAGGAACACTATGAAAAAGGAGATCTTTATTGTTTATGAGAGCGAGAGGAAAAAAATTCAGAAGGTAATTGATGAGAATTAAGGAAGGATTGCTATTAAAACCGATATGTGGACTTCAAGTAACCAAATGAAAGGTTATATGGCTGTAACAACGCATTATATTGACAATTCCTGGAGTTTGAGGAGTCATATGCTCAGGTAAATCAATTCATTCTAACTTAATGCTTAAAACTCAACCTTTGGAAGCTAATAGAATTCTGAATTTCTGATCTTGTGTTCTTTTCTTTTGTTTGTTTATTTTTTGGACAGGTTCATCTATGTTTCTGCTCCTCATTCTAGTGATAGACTTGCATCTGTCTTAGTCAATTGCATGCTTGATTGGAATACTGACTCAAAGGTATCCACTATCACCTTGGATAACTGCAGTACAAATGATGCAATGATAGCCAAAATAAAGAAAAACTGGTTTTATCATATCTGTTGAGGGAGGGTGCACTTCTTCATATGCGTTGTTCTGCTCATATATTGAATTTGATAGTCAAGGATGGGTTATAAGTTGTAAAGGATGGTATTGAAAGGATCAGGGATAGTGTCTCTTATTGGTTGGACACACCCAAGAGACTTGAATTTTTTTCAAGAGACTAGTAAACAATTGCGTGTTCCATGTGAGAAAAGACTGGTTTTGGACTGCCCTACAAGATGGAATTCTACATTTCTGATGCTTGCAGTTGCTATTACTTACAAAGACGTGTTTAATTGGCTTAAACAACGTGACCCTCAGTATGATTGCTTGCCTTCCAATGATGACTGGTTGTTTGCTTCGATTGTGCGTGAGAAGCTCCAGTGTTTTACTCAAGTTTCTGATCTATTTTCGGGGTTCAAATATCCAACAGCAAACTTGTTTTTTCCTCGTATTTGTGATTTGAGGATTAAAAATATGTGAATGGATGTTTGATCTCAACAACAATGTTCAACGTATGGTTGAATCAATGTGGGTTAAAGTTCAAGTGTTCAACAAATATTGGGAAGTGATCCAACAGATTTTGGCAGTTGCTGTTGTCGTAGACCCAAGGCATAAACTTGATATTGTGGAGTATTATGTTGAAAAGTTGGGTCTAGATGGTAGTTCATCACTGAGTGCTACAGAAATAAGAAGCATTTTGGGAGATTTGGTGGTTGAATATCGATCAAGGGTGAATTGTAACAATCATACTACTATGGGGAATGATCTGCCTGCAATGTCTAGTACTACAGATCAGGGTTTTGACTTGTTTGTTAGTCAAAGGAAAAAGACTAGGACTTCATCTGTTACGGTTGAGTTGGATGCATATTTGAATGAGGAAATCTTGCCTCGTACACCTGATTTTGATATACTTATGTGGTGGAAGATCAATGGACCTAAATACCCCATCTTGCAAGAGATTGCAATAGACATTCTTGTTGTTTCTATCACTTCTGTTGCATCAGAATCTGCCTTCAGCTTTGGAGGCAGATTGTTAGATCCTCATAGGAGCAGGCTGCATCAATCAACGGTTGAAGCTCTAATGTGCACGAGGACTTGGCTGCAAGATAATGGTAATTGATATCTTTAGTTTAGTTTTAGTACATTCATTTATCATTATCTCAACTTTCTACAAGGATTTAATTCTTTGTTGCATGTTGTTGTTTTTTTCAACTCGAGGAGAGACGTGATGATGGTGTAGGGAATCTAGAGGGCTGCTTCTCTTCATTGGGTGAAACTCGCATGGTTCAAGCAGAGGCACTAACAGAATGTGCAATTCTGGAAGGTTTTTGCAATTACACTTCCTTAATTGTCTTATATTAGCTAGTAGTGATATGAGTTTAGTGTTACTAAAAATTACATCACTTATGCGTTTATAATGTAGACAATGCTCCAAGGAACATGTCATACAACCTAGATGATGTGGACTAGCTTCTAGGTGTAGGATGTTGCGGTTTAGTGGTGAGTTGTTTGAGAAGAATGGCTTTAAGTTGCTGTTGAGTTTCTGGTGTGTTTTAATTGCTAAAACTAAAGAACTGTGGAATACATTCTGTTGCTGCTGTGGATTCATTTTGTTGGTTTGAGAAGAATTCATTTTGTTGAGATAATGGCTCTTTGTAGGTCTGATGTTGTCTGGGCTATTCTGGGCTGCTGTTGAGTTCATTTTGTTGCTGTTGTCGATTTCATTTTGCTCTTGCTGGGTGTCTTTCTTTTGCTGCTGAGTTTAGAGGAAGGTTGCAAACTGTTGCTGCCTTGCTGGCTGGCTTTTTTCTGCTGCTGAAGAGTGAAGACTGGTGTTGGCGCTCCGTTCCTGCTGAAGAGTGGAGCTGGGTTGTTGTTGCTGCATTTCTGAAGGATGATACTGCTGGTGAAGAGGGAAGTAATGAGCTGCAGAAGACTGTTGCTGCTGGTGTTCTTTTGTTTGCATTTGATTTGCTTTTGTTTACCAACTTAGTCGTGATTGGGATTGGATGTTAGTTTGGATTGAAATCAGACTTTGCTTTTGAGTTGCTCCCGTTCAACAGCTTAGTCTGTGGATTGGGATTGAATGTTAGTTGAATTGAATATTTGGATTTGCTATGCTATGCTTTCAAAGTAGTTTATTTTCATCTCTAACACATTCTGCAATATTTTCTTCGAAGTGACCATAGGATTTATTAAAATATTCCAGTGTTCATTTAGAGTTTAAATGGAATGTTAATTCTTGTTGTTGTTTCATTGCTTGGTAATTCAATTTATTCATCTTATTTGGATTGGATGCTAATCCAAAGTTATGTCCTATTAAACTCTAGTCTCAGTTCTCTAGTTTATGATACCACTGCTGCCACTTTCATTTTGTTATTTGGTTGAAGTCAAACTATAGCTTTTGACCGGGTATGTTATATTTCAGGTTAACCGGGAACCCGGGGATGGGCGGGTGGCGGTGCATTTTTCCTCCTCAACGGGCGGCAGTGCGGGTGGTATTGTCAACCCGTTGAGGACTAACGTGCGGGGTACGGATGTGGGGAAACCACCCCCGATCCCCAATGTTGGTTGATTGAAATATGCGAGCTTACCTTGTGTCTGACTTAGTTTGCTTGGGGACAAGCAAACGGTTACGTGTGGGGGAGTTTGATAAGCCGTTAATTGCACATGTTTTTACCCCTATTCTGGAGCCGTTTGGGATGGTAATTCTCGTGTTTTAGGCCGATTTCACGCTAGGTTGTGTTTGTTTGTGATATTTCAGGTCCTAGCAAGTGAATGAAGGTTTAGGAGCGAGTTCGGGGTCGATTGGACGAAGATCGGGCGCGAGGCAAGTCGAAAAGGAAGCCACACGGGCACACCCACAACTCACACGGCCGTGCAAGTGACCACTTTGGCCGTGTGAGATTGTGCGAGCCTTCACACGGCTTGCCCTGATATCCACATGGCCGTGTGAAGTAGTGGTTTGGCCGTGTGGAATTCTGCGAGGCTTCACACGGCCAGGCAGGGTGATCCACACGGCCGTGTGACCTTGGCCGTGTAGGAAGAGTGAAGTGCAACTAATCGGGACGCAGCGTTTTGATGTCACACGGGCAACTGCGTATGCCACACGGCCGTGTGGCCTTGCCCGTGTGAGTTGGGAATTCCTGGTTTTAACCCAATTTCGGGCTGCAAGTGAGAGAATCGGACTTTTGGAGCAAAAACTGATCCCTAGAGAGAGAAAGTACGAAGAACACATCCTAGAAGCTATCTTGGAGCTGGGTTTCATCAAATCAAGCTTGGAGATCGTCATAGGAGTGTCCCAGAGCAGATTCTTCCCATTGTAATGAGTATGACTGCTTTGTTTTCTGTTTTCCTCTCTCTCTCTATGGAGTAGAACCCTTCTCTCACTTGGGGATGAAGAACCCTAGTTCTATGTGTTAGGGATTTGATTGTAATGACTTGGGATGATATTACTGCTTGGTTTTAATCGAATGATGCATGTTTATTGAGTCAATTGAAGTCTGATCAGCTTTTCCTGATTTCTGCTGCAACCTGAGATAGATAGAATCTGATTAGGTTGTTAGAGCCTCATCATTCGGTAGTAGGAGATTGGCTATACGAGAGTTAGCCAGTTTACTGCTTTGTACTGGAATCCAATTCCAGTAGTGGAGTTCTGTTCTTACTTTTTCAGCTTTCTATCCCGGTGAAGACTAGTCGTCTGCCGGGTAGTTAGACTGAGAGGGCTTGGTCAGCTTAAGAGATTCCAAGCTACTGTCAGAACTTCCGCAGTCTAATCAATAGTAAATCAACCCAAGGAAATACAATTGAAACCTAACTAAGGAGCTAGGGGGACTCATTCCCGAGTGACTCTTCTTTGCTTCAGAAAACCGTACCAATTCCTGCTTTCTTTCTGCTTTTGCTTTTAAACAACAAACACTTAACTTAGTTGGCTAGATAATAGATAATCACTGAGTAAGCAGTAGATCTAGACCCCGGGTTGATAATATAACTTGCCACTTTACTGCATTTCCGGTCTGCGATTGCACTTGGTCGCAGATTGGTGTTGTGTTTTGGCGTGTCAAGTTTTTGGCGCCGTTGCTGGGGAACCCTCTAGGTTATTGGGGAAACGTGAAAATCTGTTACTCTAGCTTTTTCTTTACTGCATTTTATCTCTTCCACATGTGTGCCTTCGCGGGTTGTTTCTGCTGATTGTGTGCAGGTAGTGCATGACCCGTAGCCAGTCAGGAGATCTATTACCATTAGACCAGGAGCTTGAACGAACCTGGAGGAACTTCAAGCGGGCTCTAAAGGCGCGAATGGCTGCGGAGGAGGCGCTAGCACAACTACAGATCACTGAAGAAGAAGAGATGGCTGATCCACAGGACCATGATGTGGTCAATCCTGGGGAGCAGACCATGGGATCCTATTGGACCGCAAGGGCTGCAGACATGAGGTCACCCATTCAACACCCTCATGTCCCAGCCAATAATTTTGAGGTGAGCACCTCAGTAATCACCATGCTGCGCGATTCAGTGGTGTTCCGTGGCAAAGAGGGGGAGTGCCCTCGATCACATCTCAGGCGATTCCACGAGCTCATCGATGGAGTCAAGATCAACGGGGTCCCAGTCCCAGCAGATGCCATCCAGCTGAGGTACTTCCCGTTCACCCTGGAGGGGCAGGCCAAGGAGTGGCTAGACACTCGACCTCCGGGCTCCATCACCACGTTCGCCAACCTGGCGGACAAGTTCCTCACCCGCTACCATCCTCCGTCGAAGATGAGACCATCTGGGATGCTTGGGAGAGATACAACAGTCTCTTCCTGAGGTGTCCCAATCATGGTTTCAACGATGCTTTCAAGGTGGGAACCTTCTATCATGCCCTCTTCCGAGAAGACAAGCAGCTGATTGACTCAGTTTGTGGCGGGAACATGCTGACCAAAACACCGCAACAGCTGAATCAACTCTTTGAGGAGATGGCAGAGAACGGGTATGATTGGGGCACTGCTAGGAGGTCGAGGAGAGCACCAAGCCGAGGTGTACATTCTGTGGGAAACCATTCCTCTGATTTGGTGCAGGTGGTGTCGAAGCTGGTTTCAGCTATCGATCGCTCCGGGATGATTCCAGGGACCGGACAGCAGCAGGCTGCCAGTGGTGCGAGAGCACCCATCATACAGTGGAAGACTGCCAGGCGATGAAGGAATCGACCACACCCAAGGAGCAGGTGAACTTCATCAATAATGTCAGGCGCAATGACCCCTACAGTAACACCTACAATGAGGGGTGGCGCCAGCATCCCAACTTCTCCTAGGGTGGGGCAAATTCCAGACCACCAGTCCCCCAGGGACCACCCGGCTTCCAGAGGCCAACATATCAGCCCAGACAGGGGCAATTCCAGCAGCCACAGCAGTCTCTCTACCAGCCCATGCAGGGGCATGCTGCTCAATCACAGGCGCGACCTTTCCAGCAGCCAGGTGCAGCCCCTGCCACCCCAGTGCAGAATGATCCGATGGCTGAATTGCGGGACTTGGTGGGTTCTCTCGCTAGTTCTAGTGCTCAGAAATTCAATACTATAGAGCAGTTCATGGAAAAGGAATCGGGTAAATTCCTGACTCTTGAAGCTGGCCAGAGGAACACACAGGCTATCTTGCAGGATATCCAAACCCAGCTGGGGAGCGTGGCTCAAGTAGTGGCGCAAAGGGCTCCTGGTACTTTGCCCGGTCAGACTATCCCTCACCCTCAGAACCCGAATGAGCACTGCAATGTCATCATGACCAGGAGTGGCAAGATGATTGTTGATCCACCTGCTCGGGCACAAGAGAGAGAGGCCCCTGCCTCGGCATCTCCAGCAGCTGAAGAAGAAGTAGAGAAGGAGGTTGAGGTGCCTGCACCTAAACCGCAACCAGTAGTGAAGGAGTATATCCCTCCACTCCCCTTCCCTACTCAGTTGCACAAAGACAGACTGGAGGCAGAATTCGAGAACTTCATGGCAATGCTTAGGAAGCTGAATGTCCAAGTACCTTTTCTGGAGGCACTATCTCAAATGCCTAAGTATGCGAAGTTCCTGAAGGATCTTCTCTCAAAGAAGCAGAAGCTGAGCGAGCTGGCCATTGTGGAGCTTAACGAGGAGTGCTCGGCCATTCTGCAGAACAAGCTTCCGTAGAAGCAGAAGGACCCAGGTAGTTTTACTATCCCGTGCTCTATAGATAAATTGCATGTAGAGAGGTCCTTGGCGGATTTAGGTGCTAGTATCAATGTTATGCCATATAAATTATTCAAGAAACTAGGCCTAGGTGAACCCCGTGCTACTAGGATGAGCCTTCAATTAGCTGATCGATCTGTCGTGCATCCTAGGGGCATAATGGAAGACCTTCTGGTTAAGGTTGGAAAATTCAATTATCCTGTTGATTTTGTGATTTTTGACATAAATGAGGATGTGGATGTGCCATTGATACTAGGAAGGCCTATCCTGGCCACCGCAAAGGCCCTCATAGATGTGCATGATGGGACCTTAGTTTTGAGGGATGGTGAGGAGCGAATAACGTTTTCAATTTCTAATACTCTTCCTGCTTCTTTTCCTCTGCATGCTGTATCTCACCGGGAGCACGAGTCTGTCGTGTATCCTTCTGTGTTTCCTATTTTGCAGGATCCGCCTCCCATACCTTCGCCGCCACTCCCGCCCACTCCGTCATCGAAGGAACAGATCAAGGAGGAGTGGCGGCCGAAACTGCAGGCAGCTAAGCCTGCTCGAAAGAAAGCCGGAGACCACTACGAGCTGGTCCCGCCCCCACCTTGGCCATCCGAGTATTCACTCGCTTGCATCCTGCCGGATGGCCAAGTTGAGTTGACAAATGCTGGTGTGATACGCCCCTGGGGGGTGTATGTTATCAAAGTAACGCAGCAAACGACTCAATCGAAGAATCGATTGAGCTCGAATCAAGAACGAAGCGTTCTTAATACGAACTTGGGATAAAACGGAACCAACGGACAATTCCACACCTGCGGAAAGCTCGTATGGTATAAAAGGGTAGCTGCTCG